CTTTGTCTTGTGAAAGTAACTCTTGCTAAGTGTAATCCCCAAACTAAATATGTCAAACAGCATTGGAAATGGCTGTGGTAGTTCATGTGCTTTTTTACATTTGTCCTCCTTGAAGTCAGTCCCCCATCATCTTCAGTGACTGGCCATGATCCTGTGTCTTCTACTCCTAGCAACACCGTACTGGGGGACTGCAGACCTGTCAGAAAAGCAATCCTGTTTGAGAACCAAAGCGAGCATAAGGCATCCTAAGTTATGCTTTACCAGAGGCATGGGATTGCTAATTCCCATTTTAACTAGCAAAACCTAGAAGTGAAACCTTCTATTGCGAGTTTTATTTCCCACTTAATTTCTTTGGTTCTTCATTGCTTCATGATCCGAGGTTGGATGCTGCTAGCCAGGGTGGTAGCCATACAGTTTTGTATATTCCTGTCCCAGTATGGATTGGTCTGCAGGCTGCGAGGTGCTGCATCGTGCCAGGGAAGGCAGAGACGCTTCATAAGTATTTCTCTTTCATCACTTACTTTGGACACTTCTGCTTCTTCAGTCTTGGTGAACAAATCTAAGGGGGAAGGAAAGAGCTTAGAACCCCTCTGTGGTAAAAAATCTGTTTTCATGGAGGTTTTTCAGCATTTTCTGAATTCATTATGCATTTCATTGTTGGGCTTGGCTTAAAGTATTTGCTTAAACTGTTCTGTAAGTCTGTTAAGTGGTTTCATTGTCATTGCTCCAATTGAAAGTGATCCTTTAGGATCTATTTATGACCTCGTGTAGTATTCTCACAAGCACCAGTTAAAAAAAAAAAAAAAGAACCCAAAAAAACCCAAAAAACCCCAACCCCATAAAAAGAAAAAAAAAAAAAAATCACTGTGGCAACGATTGTGGTGATACAGATTAATCTAGGCCATCTCCATCTTTTGGAAGACTACTGAAATATGACAAACCACACAAGAACTGGTTACACTGTCTGCAATGAAAGCCACTCTTGTTTCTTCAGGAAGGTGTTCCAAGCTGGAGCATTATGCACTTGCTTGTAGTTTGTTGCTTTCTAAATCATTACCATTATTTTGCATTCCTTACTCAGGCACAGGCAAGTAGAACATATCTGCTACTTTAGGAGGATCTGTGTTGTTATTATTTGAGAATTATCTGTACATAGTGTCCATATCTTGCCAATCCTCAAATATTGATCAAAAAGAAAATGACTTGTAAGGTATATCCAACCTGATGTTTTCCTGTATGTTGTTATCTGCCTGTGGGCTTTTGTGTATTTTTGCTGGACACCATCAATCAAGTGTGTGATATTTTAAGTTACCCCACTACATCAGAAAACAGGCTTCTATCTAGTCCAATAGTGATAGGTTTCAATTCTCAAGTCACGGGAGAGTTGTTTCATAATTAAACCAACTTTTTTGCATTTAAAAGAGAAATTTAGAGAGCATTAGTGATCTCCTCTCCACATCTAGGAAGCAAGTTTTAGCAAATCTAATGCTCGGTCTGGGGCACTACAATACAGTTTTGTATTCGCAAAAGAAAGACTAATCTAACACCTATATCACATTAAATATCAGTGCAAGGCAAAATTTGGACAAGGATGCCACTGTCAGCTGATAGTACAGAAAAAGAAACTTCTTCCATATACATGAGCCTCCTTTCCCCCCAAGCTTCTTTTCCTCAGGCAGTTGAGGAAAGGCACCTTTTCTTGCAATCCTGTTATTTTTATGTGAGAGAGACCTACAAGCGATGGGTGGCTGAAAGCGCCTGTGGTGCCACAGCTGTGCTCTGTAGCCCTCCGCCAGCCCTGCCGTGCCTGTGATGGCTGGCCTTCTGCAACCCTGCCCTACACCTTGCCCTTCCCACTGCTGCTACCCCTTCCCTGGCTTTCTTGGGGCTTGCACTACCTGGAGGCTGTTCTGTTTTCAGGTCTGGAGTTTGGATGTCAGTCCAAAATGCCTGTTTCCCCTAGGAGTCAGGCAAAAGACAGGAGATGTATAACCCTGTCAGGCAAAGTTTTCCCTGGGCTTGGATGCCATACAGACCTGTCCTCACATGGACAGAGGAATGATGTTTAAGACATTCTCATCCTAATTCTGCTTCTAGTCTGCTGAACTGATCTCAGGCCAACAATTTCAACTTTGTGCCTCTGCATTTAGCTCTTCAGAGGCTTCTCCAAGTGCTAAGAATAGGTAAGTTATGGAACTCTCTCACTAATTAGCAACATCTATGACACAGGTATACCTCTTTGCAAAACATGTATTTTATACAATAAAGAGGGCTTGCTAACCACACACCAAAGCATTTCTGTGTATCTCATGTTGGTCCCCTTGCTTAGTAGCTGGTTTCTTTCACTGGGAGCTAGCCTGGACCTGGAGCTTTTTTTTCTACACTGCACTTACCATCAATATCTTTAACCTTGCAACTCACGTTCTAATTGAGCTCATTATATTGAAGATGTTGGTTGGGGTGGTGTGAAATCACTACCATTAAGTTGCCAAATCAATCATCTTTACACAGGTGAATAATGAACTGAATAGACAGCACATTTTCTTTTGGGAAAGCCTGTTTAATTCAAAGCTCCCTAGAAAGATGTTTGAAACAACATACATAAACATATCAATGTGATGCGTATGTTCTGTGTACATTAAGTATTCATGAAGCAACTGTGTGCTTTATTTTAAATTGAGTTTGATAGATGGCTGTGTCAATACTTGTGTCCAGGTTATTTAAAAGTCAAGTAAAACTTGAATTTTTAGGGCATTCCATGGTTGCCTGTGTGTCTTATTTACATTACACAAAGGAGCAAAACCTTCAGAAACACAGATTCAGCTGACACCACCATCTGGCAAAAACAGGTGTAGTACCAATTAAAATCCACTTGAGGATACAGCTTCTCCAGATTAAGTATTTTTCCTGGTAGTGGAAAGTTGTCAGTGTATGTTTTATCCTTTCAGTACATACCCATACCAGTTTCCTTTCTTACCTAAAATGCACCAGAATGCCACAGCAGACTACATAAGCTGTCAAACCAAATGTACAGATGCAGAGTGAGTGTGGCAGACACTCTCTCCTTCATGTGCCCATTTTAATTTCTCTCCTGTATTTGTCTCCTTGATAGAGATTGTGATGGGTTGACCCTGGCGGGACACTGGCTGCCCACCAAGCTGCTTTTATCACTCCACTCCTCAGCAGACAGCAAGATGGAAAAACACCTCATGGGATGTTGGAGAGACAGGCTTGATGCAGTAGCTGTAACACCTGTGTGTTATCAACACCTTTCTAGCTACCAAGACACAAGCACAGCACTCTGAGGGCTGCTACAGGGAAAACTAACTCTGTCTCAGCCAAAACCAATACAAGAGTTAAGAAAACCACTGCCCTTCCAGATGGTCACAATTTAAATTATATACCTTACTCCCTGTGACGTTAAGATCTCAAAAATAGCTAGGACTATGCAGTTAATTCCTCAAAGAGGATATCAGAATGTACTTGACATTGTTCATAACATACTACCCTTAAATTTACTACAAGTGAGCCCCTTGGCTAGGCAAAAGAGGTAACAGAGTTACATTCAAGAATGCCCCCACGGGTCACCCACTGATACAGACTGTTTCCATTTAACAGAGCTAGCCCTAGCCAACTCAGATGCAGTGCGCTAAGAGTTGAAGCATTTGGCACAAGCCAGTTTTCTTCCTGTGCACACCTTCCACGAGTTCCGATTTGCAACCTTTACTACCGAGAGCCCTCTTCCACGGAGCACTGGAGGCAAGTAACAGAAAGGAGGGTTGGTGCGACGCTAACCTAGTGCAGATCTTTGTTCTCTTGATCCCCTAGACCACCTCAGAATCTCCTTTCTACTTTTTAATACTATCAAGTTCAACAGTCTGTCAGACATTGTGTCTGTGCAAAACAGAGTGGGGGGGGAGGGGAGCAGGGGGGGGAAAAGTCTTGAGGTTTTTTTTAAGGGTACAGTCCAGTTAGCCATTTAGAAGTAAAAGGCAGTCCTAATGCTTAACACCATACTTAACGTTTATCAGCATTACTGTGTTAGAAATTGGCAACCTTTACACTCACCTAGTCCTCCCTTTACCTCACTTTTTCTTTGTTTCACTACACTATGAACAGCTACCACACACCGAAGCTCAAGATTCTACCATTTTTCTTGTTGAAAGGGAATTAACATTTTAGACAGCCATCATTAGAACTTGGCATTAGCTGTTGCTCTCAAGAGTTTTTTTTTTTTTTAAAAAAAAAGTCTTAAAAGCTACTCCTGCCAGTCTTGCACTTTAAGAACAAAGACTCATGAGCAAAACTCCTGAACAGATGGTATCTTCAGGGAATATAATCCCTAACAGAAACCCTAAGCTTTCAAGTGCATCCAATTACATGTTGGATCACTAAAAATTAATTACTCTTGTCTAAACCTCCTTCCTTCTTGACAAACCAAAACTAACTTATGCTTAGACTTTGCATTAGTAATTTGCAAACATTCAGTACTGGAAAGTCAGACATTGCAAGATGCTTAATTTCAGCATTTGCTCTTCTGATAAAAGTGATTTATGTTAAGTCTTACTGAAAAAACAAGCAGGAATTCCAGTTGTTATCCCTAAAGTATTTCATGCTACTTCAAGTTTAGTTGAAGTACATGCAGCTGATCAAGGTGATAATAAACCAAGCTTGCAGTTTTCCATCTTGGAGAAATACCTTTCCTGGTGTTTTTAAACCCTTGTTTGCTGAATTTTAATTGCTACTTTTCCTCACCACAATATAAATCTCAATTAACCCAATCTCCAAGTGCTACCACAGCTTCAGTGATCACCTCCCATCCACTTAATAGCTCCCAGGTTTTATTTAGTCCAAAGGGGTGAATCAGTAACCCAAGAACAACACAGAGAAACTCAGAACCGTCAAACAGAAGCAACTGCTATTATAGCTTTGGAAAGATAGAAATTCTGAGAATAAAAACATGAATCTTTATTTTTTTTTGTCTACACAAACATTATCGGGCACTGCCCTAGTACAGTTAAAAGCACCTTGTGTTACTCTATGGAGGCTTAATCGTCCATCTTCTTAACAGTTTTTTGTTTCTTATGGAGTAGTCTTGCATAGATTGCCACTGGTCTCAGGCTGGTTTTAACAATTCTTCCTAGGGAAAAAAGTAAATACGATGTGAGATTGGACACACGTAGCACACAGCTGTTTTCAGTAACATCTTCCAGATCCATGAGACCAGTACAAAGTTACAAGGACCATCTTCCCTCTCATCCCTCTGGAAAAAAGTCGAAAGCTAAAAATCTGCAAATCTAATTTTTAAGGAGCCTACATGCAAGAGCGGCTCTTTACCAATCTCAGCCAGATTACAGATTCTAACTGCAAGCTGGTGACAGCAGTAACACTTTGTAGCTGGTAGGAATCAATAGAAAGTTTTGTAGTAGGAACTCATGCAGACGTATGTCTTTGCATTATACAACAGTTTAAGAGAATAGTAAGCCGATGATAAAAAGATGAGATTTATTAATTTCATGTTGAAAAACAAGTAGCAGCCCTGTTAGATACATTACTCATAATGGATTACATGCATTTCTGTTTTTATATGAACCTGTCAAGACACTGGGAAGAGGGCCCATCTTACTCTTCAGCCTTGCAGAAACCCCCAGTGCCTATGGTGCTGAAGGTCTGGGATGGATTTCACTAGGTAATTTTCTGATTCTAGTATTTTCAAGGGTATTGTGACAAACTTGAAGGAATTATCTAAAAGGAGGCTGTAGCAAGGTGTGTGCTGTCTTTTCTCCGAAGTAATAAATGACAGGATGAGACAAAATGGCCTGAAGTTGTGCCAGGGGAGCTTTAAATTGGACATTAGGAAAAATTTCTTTACCAAAAGGGTTGTCAAGCATTGGAGAGGGCTGCCCAGGGAAGCAGTTCAGTCACCATCCCTGGAGGTATTTAAAGGACATGTAGATGTGGTGCTTAGAGACATGGTTTAGTGATGGACTTGGCAGTGTTAGGTTAATGGTTGGACTTGATGATCTTAAAGGTCTTTGCCAACCTAAATGATTCTATGATTCTACAGTTCTATGTTGCCTTTGTGAGCAGCTGCCAAATAATCAATCTGTTTTCTCAGAGCTGCAACCACACTTACACTACTATAGAAGAGAAATATAGATTGTATTTACAGTATTATCAATTTCTAGCACAGTGAAAAAAAGAAAAAATAAAAAAAGGAGGCAACAAAATTTTGTATCCCTCAAAAGCCTGAAAAATCTCAAAGGCTTATTTATTAATGGGTGCCAATTGCTATCCCAATTCTTCATGAAACTTCTCCCTAACTTCTATCTCTTCCAAGTTCTCCTGAACATTTATGGTTCTTCCCTGGAAATATCACTGCGCAACACTGTGTCTCAGCACCCTCCTCTTCACTATGTCTCTAGGAGACCTGGATGCGTCAGCGAAAGAACAAAAACAAGAACACAAAACAGATATGCAAAAGATACTTTTGGCTCTTTTTGTGTCCTGGAATGTAGCTCTCACATAATGAGGTTTAAATGAGGCATAATTGCACAAAACATGTGAGCAGGACATCTTTTACTGGTTTTCTACTCCATTCAATCTACCCTTCATCACTGCTATACTTTCTTGTTTGAGCAACTGGCCTGTTCACAGTCATAAAAGTCAGCTGCTGCTGCTAAAACACCTCTAGCATTTTTTTCTTTCACCAAGTATTCAACACTGCACAAAGTATTCAACAGGAACACCACTCTCTAGCATGTGGTGTAATATTGTGACCCTTTCTAATTTACACGACAATCAGTCAGTTCTTGGGCTTAATTCGAAACTTAAGTTTGCACTCTGAATTTCACCTTTGCTTTAGTCTCTGTAAATTTAGAGCAGGCTGTCCAGTAGTTTACTCAGTATCGCTTACATCCCCTGAAATGCAGGTAAGTTACCATTATGACTTCTTAGAATTGGGTCATTCTTATATCACATTCCCAGTATTGACCAAGAATTTTCTAGCTTCGAAGACTTGGATTCCTTGTCATACCCTTGCGTGCATAGGTTATACAAACTACAGTTTCAGCACTGACTAAATCTTTCATAATACATGCAATTTTTATTAATGCTTCGTTTCTATCACTGAATTTCATGCTGACTAGCACTACTCAACTTTTCCATAGTCTTGGCTTTTCCAAGACTTTACAGTGAAACTGTATTTTGCATATAAAGTTCTGAGCTTTCACGTTTTGCCAGTCTTTGAACATTTTCAGTCCTTGTATTCTGAACTGCTCCATAGTATCACCCCCAAAAACCAAACATGGAAAAGCAAGACTCCTCTCGGACATGCTGGCAGCCACGCACTGCTTTTAGTAAGCCACTCACACCGAGCTTTTTACCTTAGGGTGTCCACCTTGCTTGTTGATGAGAACACAGTCACCAGGCCCTTCTCACTCTGTTTCAATTCTAATTTCTGCTCTAAAGTTATTCTGCTGAACTTCTGCTTCAACAGAAAGTCTGCTTCATTTTAAGACAAGGCTGAAGGACACAGCTTCACAGGAAGTTATTGTCACTCACCTCATGAAGAAAGCTGCAGGACAGCTAGGCCATCGGTACTTTGTAACTTTTTTCCTACACACCCCTCTAATGCTCAGAGGCTTCCACCACATAGGGTTATCTCTGTGAGCTTCTGAACTTCCAGGTGAACACAGCAGAGCTCTGTAAGAAGTGTTCATAGCATTAGGCATTCTGGTAGGAACAGATCCCACAATCCCTCAGGTAAGAGCCACCGCTGCTGGCAGTATTAAAGTATACTTTACATTTGCAAAAGGCATCAAGGAAAGACTGTGCTGTGTACAGCAAAAGAGTAGAATACGTTATCATCCAATACCAAATAGTTGTACAGAAGGAATCTCTTTGTGCCTTTCCGACACTAGATATAAATAACAAATAGGCAAATGCACAAAAGCAAACCACATTTTTTCCACATTAAAGAAGATTTTCATCTTTTCTGCAGCTGAGTATTCTGAAGCTGCAGGTATCTTTTTGCAACAGAAAAACCAGAGGCCTCTGCAGGAGTCTGAAATGTTATGTACTAATTACTTGCAGCACAGATGTAAGAAGTTACGGTAGACAGGACAGCTAAACAATGCTAAAAGTGGTCATTATAATTTTAGTTTTTCCTCTTCTAGTAACTGCCAGATTCTTCATTTAAGAAGACTGAAGCATAAAATCTACTATGTAGCTGCTCATCCATACAATTTCTACAGATTTTTTTTTTTGTCCTTGCAAAAACAGGGAGGAGAACGGTAGATAACCAGCTCCTTAAACAGTTTGAGCAAGAATTCCTGTTTGCCTTTTTTGACACCACATTCATTCTGGACAGGAATGAATGGGCAACACAAAGGCAAAAATTTAAATATTAGAACTGATCATCTCTGTAAAATTAATAGCGTAAGAAAAAGATCAATTCACCAATAGGCAAATACTTAAAAATTCACAAGTAAATAACGTTTTATGCATAACAAACATTTAATAAGAAAAGCCAAGCACACCATCCTCTTGGGACATCTTGTGGTCATGTTGGTGCTTGCGTAGGCCATGGACAGACTTCCATTGCTTTCATCTGAAAAAAAAAAAGGGGGGGGGGGGGGGGGAAAACACACTTTCACTTGGAAGAGTGAATGAAATACAAGAAGGAGCCTAACAAGAAATACTTGAAACAATTACCTGATTTCAAATAACAGTCAGCAGACTCTATACCCCCCACCCCGAAAAAAAAAGCCCCAGTCATCCCTATTAGCACACTTTAAGGGCTGCTCTAGTACACAAGGTCCCGTGGCCTGACACAGCAACCAGGAATTATGCAGAAACCCACCAATTTCTCAGAAAGCCAGGCACAGGTGACTGCGTATGCCAGCACCACTCCTCCTCTTTTCCACATTACTGGAAAAATGTTCCTTTAGATTGGGTGGTCCTTCTGTTGAGGGACACGGTGCATTTGGGACTACGCAGTACTGGCCGCGTGGCAAAACCCTGCCCAAAAAGAGTTCAACGTAAACCAACCGTGTTAAGTAACCCAGAAAACTCGCGCTTCCAAAAGGCGAGCGTTTGGAGAGTTCTCCCAAGCAGCAGTTGGGAGCCTAGACAGGTATCTTCAAAGCGAGCCACCCCAGAGGATGCGGGGTTACCGCTTCACTCAGCGAGCCCTTTCCCTCAGGGGGGAGAGGCGGAGAAGGAACGGCCGGTCGCGTGCTAC